GGATGAAAATCACCCTCAGACAGCTATTGCAAGCCATGCTGGTGACTATTACACTGACACTGTTGTGAAACACTTTAGGAAAGTCATAAAGGAATGGGAGGTACAGGCCACTATGGACAGATATGTTGTGCGACAGAAGTCCAGTGACTCTGAAGCTGGTCCTAGTGGCATTAAAAGAAGAAGGGAAGCAACCCCGGAAAAGGACTTGACATCTCAAGTCCTAATGGAAGGGGATTCCCCTTCTAAACACTAAAACCATCCAGTCTCCCCTCCTCCCATCCTATCAATCATCACCAGATCTTCAATAAAGGTAAGTGTCATGTAACTGTGCATGTTTTCTTAAGTTTGTGTGTATCAAAATTAATATTTTATGTGGTAAAAAAAAATTTTTTCATACTTTTGAGTGTCTTGCACGGATTAATTTGATTTCCATTATTTCTTATGGGGAAAATTAATTCGCATAACGATATTTTCGCATGACATTGAGCTCTCAGGAACGGATTAATAGCGTTATGCGGGGGTCCACTGTATACCCAAATTATATTGGATGTGTTTGCATATTTTAATCTAAATTTTTTCTAAAAGTTTGTTTATTCCATTAAATTGTGTTAAGTTACTTCAGTTATTTTCTATACAGTGGACCCTCGTCTAACGATGTTAATCCGTTCCTGAGAGCTCATCGTTAGCCGAAATTATTGTTAGCCGAATTAATTTTCCCCATAAGAAATAATGGAAATCAAATAAATCAGTTCCTGACACCCCAAAGTATGAAAAAAAAAAAAATTTACCACATGAAATATACATTTTTATACACCCAAAAAGAAGACATGCATAATTACTACTGTACTAAATAAAGAATACATGACACTTACCTTTATTGAAGATCTGGTGATGATTGATGAAATGGGAAGAGGGGAGATAGAAGTTTGTTTGGAAGGGGAATCCCCTTCCATGAGGACTTGAGGTAGCAAGTCCTTTTCCAGGGTTACTTCTCTTCTTCTTTTAATGCCACTAGGACCAGCTTGAGAGTCACTGGACCTCTGTCGCACAACAAATCTGTCCATAGAGCTCTATACCTCGCATTCCTTTAAGATTTGCCTAAAATGGGCCACAACATTGTCATTGTAATAGTCACCAGCACAGCTTGCAATAGCTGTGTTAGGATGATTTTCATCCATAAAGGTTTGCAGTTCAACCCACTTTGCACACATTTCCTTAATCTTTTTTTTCAATTCCATACTAATTCTCACCCTTTTTACCACAGGGTTGGCACTAGAAGCATTCTTGGGGTCCATGGTGACTTATTTTGCAGTTACAAGCACTAAAAACACTAGGATAATGTGAAATGTACCTAATGTATGCATAGCTGCAACTGCACTGGCTAGCTTGTAAACACTGGCACCCACGGGGCAGCGTGGACAGGTCCCAGACGAATCACGTTGGGCGAGTTTTTTATTGTTAGGCGGGGCAAAATTTTTACGCTCAAACACTTCGTTAGGCAGATTTAATGTTATGCGATGCATTCATTAGGTGAGGGTCCACTGTATTTTAATAATAAATATTTTAAACACTTTCTGTACCATTTGAATGAATGATGTCAACTACCGATGCTTTCACTTTAAAAGTTTTTTAAATTTCTAAATCTTTTATAATGGCATAGTTATGTTAGTTGGGAATTTTGGTTCCATATTCAGTGTTGGGTTGTTTGGTAGTCTTGTGGATGTGCATGTTTATAGATGGGTGATGGATATATCAGATAATTATTTAGTGGTAGCAACAGCGAGTGTAAGTAGTAGTTGGAGTACAAGGGAAATAGCATCAATGAGTAAGAGAGAAGTGAAACTGAATGAATCAAAGGAGGAGAAAGTTAGGGAAAGATATAAACAGCTGTTTGAAGAATAAGTTTGGTTACAGAAAGAATAGGTATAAGGAGGAGGAAGTTGAAGCATTATGGGGTTAACCCTTTCAGGGTCCGTCCCGTAGATCTACGGCTTTACGTTCAGGGTCCAAACCGTAGATCTACGCCATGAGCTCAGCTCACTCTGATAAACTGTGAGTGGTACATTTGGGCCTAGATATGAGAGAATACATCTATGTGGTATGTGTGCACCACATAAAACAGATCCTGCAGCACACTGTTGATAATGAGAGAAAAAAAATGAAATCATGATTTTTCGATTAAAACAGCAACTTTGCAGTGTGTTTTTTCGTATGTTTTTATATAGATTGTATTTGCGATATCTTGGTCTCATTTGATAGAATGGAGAACAATATTAACAGAAATAGAGAGATTTTGATTGGTTTTAGCATTGGAAATGGCTTGAAACTGAGCTCAAAGTACGGAGTGTTAAATTTTTGCCGATATTCAAGAGTAAACAAACAACTCACACGTCTAATACACATCAGCTGTGGTCTAATATACATTCACAAATATGGTGATGTATTTATACAATTATTACAGTATTGCATAACAGTAAATCTTCTATTTTTTTGGTGTGAATAAAAATTCATTATGTGAGTAAAAAATCAAAATGGAATTTATTTGTTAAAGCCTCAAAACATAACTAATGAACAGAGGAAATGTTAGTTATAGTGCCAGGAATGCTACATTGTTCATTCTGGACCCTATTTGAAATTGGAATATTTTGAACTTGGTGTTAAATTGGCCAAATTAACAATTATCCGATCACTTTATTTTGTAGTTGAAACAGTTGACTTGGCGATTTCTTGTGCTCAATCGATAGAATAGAAGTAATACTAGTGAAATAGCTAAGAATTTGGTTGATTGGAATAATGTAATTGGCCTAAAATGGGAGTCAAAGTCGGCAAAATCGCCGATTCGTAAATATCGCTGACACATCAAAATTCGCGAGAGCATAATTTCGTCAATTTTCCACCAATTTTCGTACTTTTTGTTTTATTACCTTCACAAAAAGATTCTCTACGATTTCATAAGAAAAAATAAAAAATTTTTTTTTTTAAATATCTTGGACACTGGTGCGTGACTCCAGATTTGGGCCTTGGACCCTGAAAGGGTTAAATTTAACAACTTAGTGCGAGGCCATACATTAGAGGTTTGTGGGTATAGGTGGGAAAAGGAATGAGTGATGGAATAATGAGATGAAGAGGAGTGGTAAGGGAGAAGTAGTTAGGTTATGACAGGTTTTTATAGTGTAGGAATGATAACATAAGGCAGAGCATATGGAGAGAGAAAGACGAGGTTTAAGGAGTGATGAGGGAGTGAAGAACAGCCAACGAGAGAATGGGTGAATCTCTCTCTGCAAATTTTGCTAAGAATACGAAAAGTTCTAAAGGGATATTAATAAACTGAGATAGCTAGGGAAGCAAATGGACTTAGCAGTTCAAAACAAAAGAGGGGGAATGTTACATGGGGAGGTCTAAAAAAGATGAGGTTTGTTAAAAACCTTTAATGTTTAACATTTTTATCTTTTCTTTTGCACTCTGTTCTGACAAAATGCCTTAGAGAAAATATACAGCAAATGATATACAGTAGGTCCCTCCCTTACTGCATTCCACTAATACTGACATTTAAAATTATGACTAAAGCTTGCTGTACAGCTCCTAACACCTGACTTTGTAATATGATCGCCATGCCCAACCCGGTTTGTTTACATATTCTGTGAGCTCCGTGAGCACTGCATCTCTCTCTTATATCTTTTATTTCTTCTCACATATCTCATTTATTTGTTCTCACTCTCATTTATTTGTTTTACCTCGTTTACTCACCTCTCACCCAACATTAAGACTACAAATATTTTAAGGTAAGTAATGAGTGTACTGTATATGCATTTTATCACTCTAGGCCTCTTTAAATGTCGTAGTATATTACGAGTGGGTGGGGTGGCATGGCTGGCTACCATACCTCCCACACCTGACTTCCTACATATAAATACTACTCACCTCTCACTATACATTAAGACTACAAATAGTTTAAGGTAGGTAATGGGTGTACTGTGTGTGTATTTTACTTTTTATTGTTTTTAATGCCTAGTTCTTTTGCTAACTTAATATATGTTAGTGTAAACTTATCTGGCATTTATATACATTTCTGAGTGAAAAAATGGCGTTCTGCTTTCTGGTGATGTCTGCTTTCCGGTGGTAGCCTGGAACCTAACCTGCTGTATAAGCGGGGCCCTACTGTACTGTAATTCCTTAAATTTATTTCTCGTGTACTAGTTCAATTAAGTACCACCAAGAGTGACCTACTATGTAAATTATAACACATATAGTAGAGAATGCTTGACAGTTATTATCCCTTCCACATTGTGCAGATAGGCCCAAGTATCATTAACAGAGGGGGCTGCTCATAATCCTTGTGGTAATGGGGGTTCTCCTTACATTAAAAACAAACATTCCTAGTTTGATGGATGAGATTAATTAAGCATTAATCTATGGTATAACACTGCCTGCATTTCATAAGAAGCTATATAAAAGTTTTTCATGTAAGTTGACATTGTGCCCACTTCATATAAACTTTCTCAAAAGTATGTAAACTTGAGAAACCTTGTTTAGATTATTTACCCCATGTGAGACAGGAACTTTGCTGAGCATGAAGTAATGAAGTTAATTTGTTTGGTTTGATGTCTATCAAACCAAACTATGCCCCTCACTGTTCCTTGATGCCAGTGAGGGGATCTTGATCTAGGAAATTGAACCTGATGTCCTTTTCCATGGATCACACTTGATTACCTTCCATGTTCCTAGGGGCTGATTGATACCTAAAAGTTTAGTGTTATCCCATGAATGTCATACAGTAATAATACTAATATGAGAGTTAAGGCCTAAAATCCACAAAGATACCTAACATCAAAGATGATAGTTTTTAACAGTGCTGAGTGTATATATACATGACTTTAAAAGATAACAGTGAGATGTTTTCTTTGTCTTTATACAGTATTGTTTTTCTTTGACAGCCAAGAGAGTCACCAGCCTCCTAAAGCTATCATTGTTCAACCATCTCAAAAAATTTAAAGCTTCCAACCTCTGGGGTCATTATTGATGGCTCTGGAAGCACAGATGATGATATGATAGTGTCATACCACGGGGAGATGGTAACTGCACCATTGGGATACAAACTTCCTGATCAAACTGGGCCTACATTACAGCTCACTGATCTTATTCCAGGAAGTTATAGAATAATGTACGTTCCATGTTATAGGTTTCTTTTTCTTTCTCCCATTAAGGTGGGAGACTTTCTGACTGATGGTGGGGTTGTGTGTTGTTTCTATGAGACTACTAGCTTTCAAGGACACTCCGTGACTGAAGAGTCCAGTATTTTCTTGAATAGCAAGGATATTTCCTTTAAATTAAAATTATAGCACTATTAGCCCAGTGGAATTACCACTTATTTATGAATAAAAATACTGCATTTTTTTTTTTTTTTTACATTCTGAAACTATATTTTTATAAAGTAAATGCCTCAGTCTTTCCTCTGTGAACTTCCTCTCTAGAATGTGACCCAAAGGGTTTTAAAAACTTTCATCCTGCTTAATCCAAACATGTTAAATGTTTTTCTGTAAGTTGACCATCTCCCATTTCCCCAGACACTTGTATGACTCCACTGGGTATAGTGCTTCCCTATGGCAATAATAATAATACACATTCATTTTTTCTTCTTCTCTTTGTTTAGTAAATGATGTGGGTTTTATAGGAGTGAATGGAAACAAAAGGAAACTGATGTGCTGTTGGAGTGTGAGCAAGTAACATTTATGAAGGAATTCAGGGGAAAACCCGGGAGGGCCGACTTGAGTCCTGGAGATGGGAAGTACAGTGCCTGCACTCTGAAGGAGGGGTGTTAATGTTGCAGTTTAAAAAACTGTAGTGTAAAGCACCCTTCTGGCAAGACAGTGATGGATGAATGAAAAGTGAAAGTTTTCTTTTTTGGGCCACCCTGCCTTGGTGGGAATCAGCCAGTGTGCTAATAAAAAAAAAAAATTTATTCCAACTCTGTGATTAGTCCAATCTTTCAATATGGAAAACCATCCCAAAGTACTGTCAATTAGTTTGCTAATCCCAAACTTTATGTATTATGACAAGTATGAAGATTACAAAGCAGAAGGTAAGATGGTTTTTTTTTGATATCATAGTGAGGTCCTCTTCTTCAGTGTGTGTATGTGTTTTGTGAGAGGAGGACCTCAGTGTGAGCAAAAATGGACAGTACTTTACTTTTCTGATTTATGCTCTCTACCTGGGTTCATTTGTAACATTGACCAGTGTTTTTGGTGCACTTTTGTGTTTGTACTAGTATACATATAATCTGTTCAGATTTTTGAGGTGTATAAATCTGAGGTGAAAAGTAGGCGGGCAGGGGTTGTTAGGAGGGGTAAAGAGGTTTCGAGTTTTAGAGGTTTCAGCATCCAGCTTGCTTGTGTGAGCATGTTAGTTACAAACGAGTGGAAAAAAGCTGTTTTTAATGAAAAACAGGAAAACCGGTTAGTCAGACCTAAGCCCTAAAGGTGGGAAAGGGAGGGCTTGCACTCACAATTAGGGGTGAGGATGTTGCAGTTTGAGGGAAATCTGATTGTGATGTCAGCACACCCCTGGAAAGATGTATAACAATGAATATGTTTTTTTCTTCAGGTCACATTGCCTTGGTGGAGACTACTGTTGAGATAAAAATAGATTGTTATACAGGTTAACCATCACTAATCCAGCATCATCGGGATCTATAGAGTGCTGGATTAGTGATTTTGCTGGATTATTGAGTGGTTAGGTTTGAATACACTTAACCCAATGGTGATATTTACACATTGGTGATTTCACCCACTTTACACCCTATTTTTGGTCCATTCACTAGTACTACGGTGAAACTCCGGGTTTCGGCCGTCCTGGGAATCGGCCACTTCAGGTTTCGCCCGTTTTTTTCGGCCAAATTTTGTCCCACATTTTGGCCGTTTCCCCAGGATTCTGCTGACATACCAGACCTGTCCACCTGCCTGCGCTTGCGCGCCTGCCTGCACAGGCATCGTCAGCCAGTTTAAAGTTGTTTATCCTTGCGTGAACATTACCCTGCGCTCTCAGCCAGCCAGCCAGCCAGCCAGCCAGCCAGCCAGCCAGCCAGCCAGCCAGCCAGCCAGCCAGCCAGCCAGCCAGCCAGCCAGCCAGCCAGCCAGCCAGCCACCAGCCAGCCAGCCAGCCAGCCAGCCAGCCAGCCAAGCCAGCCAGCCAGCCAGCCAGCCAGCCAGCCAGCCAGCCAGCCAGCCAGCCAGCCAGCCAGCCAGCCAGCCAGCCAGCCAGACCCGCCAGCCAGCCAGCCAGCCAAGCCAGCACCAGCCAGCCAGCCAGCAGCCAGCCAGCCAGCCAGCCAGCCAGCCAGCCAGCCAGCCAGCCAGCCAGCCAGCCAGCCAGCCCAGCCAGCCAGCCAGCCAGCCAGCCAGCCAGCCAGCCAGCCAGCCAGCCAGCCAGCCAGCCAGCCAGCCAGCCAGCCAGCCAGCCAGCCAGCCAGCCAGCCAGCCAGCCAGCCAGCCAGCCAGCCAGCAGCAGCCAGCCGCCAGCCAGCCAGCCCAGCCAGCCAGCCAGCCAGCCAGCCAGCCAGCCCAGCCAGCCAAGCCAGCCAGCCAGCCAGCACAGCCAGCCAGCCAGCCAGCCAGCCAGCCAGCCAGCCAGCCAGCCAGCCAGCCAGCCAGCCAAGCCAGCCAGCCAGCCAGCCAGCCAGCCAGCCAGCCAGCAGCCAGCCAGCCAGCCAGCCAGCCAGCCAGCCAGCCAGCCAGCCAGCCAGCCAGCCAGCCAGCCAGCCAGCCAGCCAGCCAGCCAGCCAGCCAGCCAGCCAGCCCAGCAGCCAGCACAGCCAGCCAGCCCAGCCAGCCAGCACCCAGCCAGCCAGCCAGCCAGCCAGCCGCAGCCAGCCAGCCAGCCAGCCAGCCAGCCAGCCAGCCAGCCAGCCAGCCAGCCAGCCAGCCAGCCAGCCAAGCCAGCCAGCCAGCCAGGCCAGCCAGCCAGCCCCAGCCAGCCAGCCAGCCAGCCAGCCAGCCAGCCAGCCAGCCAGCCAGCCAGCCAGCCAGCCAGCCAGCCAGCCAGCCAGCCAGCCAGCCAGCCCTAAAATAAAATTTTGTATGTTCATTAGTCATGTCTCCAGCCCCCTCTTATATTAAGCTGTCTTCAGGAAGGCACTGGACAGGCACCTAAAGTCAGTACCTGACTAACCGGGCTGTGGTTCATACATCAGTTTGTGTGCAGCCACCAGTAACTGCATGGTTGATCAGACCTTGATCCACCATGAGGTTTGGTCTCAGACCGAGCTGTGGGGGCGTTGACACCCAAAAACCCTCTCCAGGTAAACACAAAAAATAGAAGAGTTTACTGTGATGCAAACTACTGCATTGTTGTAATATTTGTGTAAATAATGTCAACCAATCCGTGATCGCATATTAGACCGGCCAGTTGCACATATATTGGATGCATGACATGCTTTGTTTACTCTCAAACATCAGCAAAAATCAAACATTTCTGCAACTTTGAGCTCAATTTCAAAGTACTTTCTGTCCTGAAAAAAATCAAAATCATCTCTATTATTGTAATATGTCCTGCATTCTATCAAATGAGCCGAAAAAAAATAGTCATAAAAAGCATATGAAAATACACTGCATAGTTGCTGTTTTACACCAAAAACATGGCCACCATTTTTCCTCGTTATGCACTGCGTGCTGCAGGATTTTTTTATATAGTGCACACACACTTACCACACAGACCTATTCTGTCATATGTAGGCCCAAATTTACCAGTCACAGTTTATCTGAGAAAGCTGAGCTCATGGCGTCATACTACGGGACCGCCGAGGGCTCAAAGCCACCTTATCTTTTATGGCTAATGTACGATATTTGCTCTTTACACAACAAGAAGCATTTCCTTTATTTGTTGGAACCATGGGTAGGGCTAAAAGTGAGCAGGTTATGACAATAAATGGAGAACAAACTGGAATGACTTGTGCAGCAAGTAGCGCCACCAAACAGTAGTGGCAGGTTGGTGTGGCGATTCCAGAAATTTGAAATTACACTAGCCGAAATTAGTGCCAGATTATTGATGGAATCAGATTAGTGATTGCCGACCTGTACTATCCACGTCGTGTGCAAATTTGCATATTGTTTATTCCTCTTCATTCACGTAGTAGTGCACTAGAGTACCTGTCCTGATTTTTTTCTCTTTCAAGCACTACTATGAGGGAAGCAAAATATTAGTGCATATCTGATGGTTTTCTCCATTTTCATAATATATTCTACTTTTTTTTTATTACCTTAGTTCTATTTTTGTGTGTTTTCTTTTACTCCATCTCTTTTAATTTCTTATTTTATATGATCCTGAAGAAATAATTTTTTTGTAATTAAAGTAAATAACAATGCTTCCTTTAACTCTTTGCAACAATAATAAAGTATTTTTTAGTGCTTAATGTGTTAATTAAAATATATGACATTAGAGAGCAACTGAAATGCCTGAAAAAAGTTATGCTCAAAAACAGCAGTTGCAACTGGGAGGAAGGCATCAAAGGTATAGCTGTACAGTCAGATATACTAATCCTTCATGTATTTCTTGTAATAATAATGATATACAGTACAGTGGACCCCCGCATACCGTACAATCCGCATACCGCTCGCTTTTTTCGCAAAAAATTTGCCTCACATACCGCCCAAAAACCTGCTCACCGCCCTTCGTCCGAGACGCGTCCAATGTGCGGCCTGAGCCACGCTCACATGTTCCGCCGGTGGCATTGTTTACCAGCCAGCCTCCGCGGTAACATCCAAGCATACAATCGGAACATTTTGTATTATTACAGTGTTTTTGGTGATTTTTTCTGGAAAATAAGTGACCATGGGCCCCAAGAAAGCTTCTAGTGCCAACCCTACAGCAATAAGGGTGAGAATTACTATAGAGATGAAGAAAAAGATCATTGATAAGTATGAAAGCGGAGTGCATGTCTCCGAGCTGGCCAGGTTGTATAATAAACCCCAATCAACCATCGCTACTATTGGTGGTACAGCTGCTGCTGCTGCTGTACCTCCATCAGCTGCTGGCTGCTGTTTGTACCGTCTGCTGCTGCTGTAGCATCGTCTGCTGCTGCTGTAGCATCGTCTGCTGCTGGTGTAGCATCGTCTGTTGCTGCTGTAGCATCGTCTGCTGCTGCTGTAGCATCGTCTGTTGCTGCTGTAGCATTGTCTGTTGCTGCTGTACCACCGTCAGCTGCTGCTGCTGCTGTAGCACCATTGTTGGTGTGGCTTATTGAGAATACCAAGAAACAATTAACCCCAGAGGATTTGCCACCCAGGATAACCCAAAAAAGTCAGTGTCATCGAAGACTGTCTAACTTATTTCCATTGGGGTCCTTAATCTTGTCTCCCAGGATGCAACCCACACCAGTCGACTAACACCCAGGTGAACAGGGAAAAATGCCTGGAACTAGTGCTCATATTGGTGAATTTAAAGCCAGCAAAGGTTGGTTTGAGAGATTTAAGAATCGTAGTGGCATACACAGTGTGATAAGGCCTGTTCTGGAAGAAAATGCCAAACAGGACCTACAGTACTCAGGAGGAAAAGGCACTCCCAGGACACAGTGTCTCATCAGTCATTGCTGCATCTTCAGATAAAGGTAAGTGTCATTTATTCTTCATTTAGTAGAGTAGTACATGCACAATATATATTGTGCATGTACTGTACTATTGTGCATGTATCCTTCTCTTTGTGTGTAGGAAAATGTATATTTCATGTGGTAAAAATTTTTTTTTCATACTTTTGGGTGTCTTGCACGGATTAATTTGATTTCCATTATTTCTTATGGGGAAAATTCATTCGCATACCGAACATTTCGCATAACAACCAGCCCTCTTGCACGGATTAAGGTCGCTATGCGGGGGTCCACTGTACTGACAACATGTGTCGGATTCCTCATGCATTTCGTTTGTAATTCATTACAACAAACTGTTTGTTTCTCCATGCCCAGGTCTTCTTGTATGGGTCACCATTAGAAAGTGTATACTGTCTGTGTCACTCTTATGTTAGATATACTAGCAAGACAGGTTGACTTACGATTTACACATTTTAGTCTTTCCAGCTACTTATTAACCATTTTATTGCCTAATTTTAATGTAAATTTATTTAATAACCTTGGTAGGATAAGTCATTATGTATTTTATTGTATAAAGTTATTAAAGAGTTATGTAGGTAAGCATAAAAAATGCATGTAATAAAAATCCAATATATGTACTTTACTTGCAGCCTTAACTATCAAAACATTTTTGTATTGTTTGAATTTTTGTACAGGTTGCGAGTCAAGGATAAAGAAGGGCTTGAAGGAAATGAGACAACTGTTGTGAATGTTATTAAGGAAACAGATTATCCACCAACAGCAAATGCTGGGGGTGATCAGATAGTTTACCTCCCTCAGGTGAGCAGCTGACTACTACTAAAGAATTCACAAATAATTTTTTTTTTATTATGTACTGATGAATTCACAAATAACCTGCACGTAGGAGAGAAGAACTTATGACAATGTTTTGGTCCAGCTTGGACCATTTACAAAGTCACTGTGATTTAGTAAATAGTCCAAGTTGGACTGAAACGTTATTGTAAGCTCCTCCCCTATGTGCGATTGTTTGTGCATTGTTCAAGTCGTGGTATTGTGGCCTTTTGTTCTTTACTGATGAATTCTTTATATAATACGGTATCCATAGCTTAAACATAAATTTTCAACTTGTTAATTTTTTTTTGCACTTGTAAGATTATTAATGTTTCTTTCTAAGTCATGGATGATAATTTTGCTAACTTCTTATTCCTTTCATATTGAACTCTGTTTTACTGAATGTTCTTAATAACTTGCATTTTTGTAATAAGTGCTTCCTGATTTGAGAGACCTGGTCTGAGACCTTATTGTAGGGACAACTATAGCACAGCAAATTTATCTGGCCTACCTCCCTTTTAATACTATATATAAGGGGGAGAGAAAAATTTCATGCCACTTATGCACCTATAACTTACGTTGAATTTCCATCATTATTTCTTTATACCTCTACTGCAGCATGTGTGAGGAGTTAACTGTTCTTATGCTAATTGGATATGTTGTATAGAATATCTCAAGTGTTAAGTACTGAGAAAGAAATTTTATACATGTGGTTTTTTTATGTAAAATATGAAGTGATCATTGTACCATGGGATCACCATTGTAATGAGTATCATTTGATGCATGCATCCTATATACGTATTGTAATTCTAAATATGCTCTAATGTTTTGCCTACCTCATGATACTGTGGGTATGGTACAGCCTCTCCTCACTTAGCGACGTACCGTTTATCGACACCTCGGACTTAAAACGGCTTCTCTGACCAGCATTCATACCTAAATAATGTACAGTGGACCCTCAGTTATCGGCCGTTCTGGATATCGGCCAATTCGGTTTTTGCCCTCTTTTTTGGGCCAAAATTCTATCCCGGTTATCGACTGTTATTTCAGAGATTGGCTGTATTGGACACATAATAAATCACTCTTGACCACATTAAATGTCTTATTTTAGGTTAATATAGACATTTTCATTAATCCATCTATGATCTTTTCTTCAAAATTAGATAAGTAACACGTTACATAGCATATAGCATATAAACATGCATTGTTTATGTGCTATCAAGTGGAGAGTTGGGTGGAGAGTAAATATTAGGTTTTCTCTGATTCAGCGTTAGAGAAAACTGTGAATCTAGCTTCTTGCCCAGTAACCGCCCTTAATACATAAGCTTTTGTTTAACAATTCTTGGCATGAATTATTCATTACTTCTCCCATTGTTTATGATGGCATCTAAAGGTAGTTGCTAGAAACGATTAAACTTGGTGAACATGGTAGTAATATGGCTGTGTAGTGTAATAATATGGCTGAGGAGTGTAGCCCAGGGGGCTGTTCTACACAGAGAGGAGGAGGAGTTTGGGATTCCCAACTCCCCCCCTCCTGCTTTCTTCAATATGCCAACAAGAGTCTTCAATAAAAATATGTAATGTTCATTCATCATTAAAATTTGTGCTTTACATTTATTTGTCATTGTTTTCTGTATATAAAACTAAAGTTACTCTTTAAAAAATGTATTTTTTGTTAATATTTTTGGGTGTCTGAAATGGCTTAATTGGATTTACATTAATTCTTATGGGAAATATTATTTCGGTTTTCGGCTTTTTCAGATTTAAGCCAACCTTCTGGAACAGATTACAGCCGATAACCGAGGGTCCATTGTATGTTACAGCTGATTTCCTCTATTCTATTTATTTCCATATACAGTACACTACTGTATAAACATTGAAAAATGTACCAGAAATGTTATAAATGGTGCAAAGGTGACATGAAAACAATATCAGAGATGCTTGACACAAACCCACTACCATTATAGTATGCTCCTCCTTTAGTGATGAATTCGTTTAACGACGTGGTCTCTGGAATGGAACTCCGTCGGTAAGTGAGGAGAGACTGTACAGTGGACCCCTGGATTAAGTCGTCATCGGAATAAGTAATATTCAGAGTGAGTAACATTTTTGCATCAAAATATTGACTCGGTGAGCGTCGCTGAACTCAGTATAAGTCATTCGTCTTGAATGTGTCCTCGCAGCTTGAGCTGCCTGAAACCCCATGTATGTACAGCCAGTATGCCATTGTTTACCAGCCAGTGAGGACAATCCCACGCATTCATACGATATATTTAGTATTCCATTCTTGTTAGTACTTGTAACTGCTAAATAAGCCACCATGAGCCCAAAGAGAGCTTCTAGTGCCAGCCCTTTGGTAAAGAATGTGAGAAAAACTATAAAACTATAGAATTCAAGAAAAAGTTTGTAGAAAGATACAATAGTGGCGGGTGGTAGAGGATGGTAGTGGTTGTGATGGTAATAGAAAGTGGTAGTATGGGCCAACAGATCTGCTGCAGTGTTCCTGCTTTCTTATGTACACCAGCCAGGGTACTCCCTCACACACACCAGCCAGGATACTTCCCCACACACACCAGCCAGGTTACTTCCCCATACACATCAGCCAGGGTACTTCCCCACACACACCAGCCAGGGTACTTCCCCACACACACCAGCCAGGGTACTTCCCCACACACACACACCAGTCAGGGTACTTCCCCACACACACACACCAGCCAGGGTACTTCCCCACACACACATACAGCCAGGTACTTCCCACACACACACCCAGCCAGGGTACTTCCCCACACACACACACCAGCCAGGGTACTTCTCCACACACACACACCAACCAGGATACTTCCCCACACACACACACCAGCCAGGGTACTTCCCCACACACCAGCCAGGGTACTTCCCCACATACCAGACAGGGTACTTCCTCACGCACAATTTGATTTGATTGAGACTTGCGCATGAGTGAATAGAATTATCAAAGCTTATTGCTTGGGAAGCATTGAAAATTGGGTTGAGCAAATAAGATTCTTTTAGTGGGATGGTTTGTGAAAGACCTGCCTAGTATGGGCCAACAGGTCTACTGCAGTGTTCCTGCTTTATGTACATCAGCCATGGTATTTCCCCACACACACCACCCAGGGCACTTCCCCACACACCAGACAGGATACTTCCCCACACACATGATTTGATTTGAGTGGGACTTGTGCATGAGTGAATAGAATTATCAAAGCTTACTATTTGGGGAGCATTGAAAATTGGGTTGGGCAAATACGACTGTTAGTGGGATGGTTTGTGAAGGACCTGTCTAGTATGGGCCAATAGGCCTGCTGTAGTATTCCTGCTTTTTTATGTGCAAACATTTATGGATGAGCATCACTCTGACACAGCTGTTGCAGGCCGCGCTGGCAACATCTTCAATGACTATGTTGTGTCCCATTTTATGGAAATCTTAGAGACGCCAGAAACAGAGCTCGCTGGACAGATATTTTGTGCGACAGGGGTCCAGTGACTCTCAAGCTGGTCCTAGTGGCATTAAAAAACAAAAGGGAAGTTACCCTGGAAAAGGACTTGGTACCTGAAGTCTTATGGAAGGGGATTTCCCTTCCAAACAATAGTACACCTCCATCCTCTCCCCTACTCCCGTCTCATCACTCATCATTAAGTCTTCAATAAAAGTAAGTGTCATTTTAGTAATGTTTTACTCTGCATGTCTCATTGTTTTCTGTGTAGGGAAATGTATATTTCATGTAGAAAAATGATTTTGTTTAATACTTTTAGGTGTCTGGAACGGATTAATTGGAGTTCAATTATTTTTTATGGGGAAAATTAATTCGGAATAAGTCAGGTTCGGGTCCCTCAGCCTGGAGAAGAGTTCAGCTCCATGGTCTGGATACAATTAGGATTATCCAAATCTAACCTAAACTTTTGACCCCTAAAGTCATTACTTCTGGTTCACTCGTTTAACGAAAACGAACTTAAATTTTACTTAAAGAAATATACGTATTTTGTCAGTTTTCCTGTGGTTCACAGTGACATTATTTTGTATATATTTCTAGCATTGTTTGTTTATAAAATTTTATGTACAATATATGGTATTTAGGTTTAAATATGTCTTGTACAGGTACCATCTGACTTACCACCGAGGTTGGTTCCGACCAACCAGTTGTATGTCAAAATGGACGCAAGTCGAACCTTAGAAAATTACCGATAGGAATACTTCAAAAATTAAATCTTAACCCTTAAACTGTCCAAACGTAGATATACGTTTGCCTGTGCAGCGCTCCAAATATTTTGAAAAATAAAAAAGTAGTTTTTGTTTTTAAATTGAAGAGTGCATTTTTATAAATGGTATAGGATAAAAAAAAATTTTAGGGTCAGTACTTACCGAGATATAAGCCCACGAGGTTGGTGTTAAATGATGAGGTGTCGGCAACATGGAGCACTACCGCCAATTCTTTTTCATTTTTTGTTGTTTTCATGTTATGATAATAATGTTTTGTTGCAGATCTTTTGATTTCATAGCCAATTCTTGTTGAGACACAAATGTTTGGTACTGAATTAGTAATCATACTGTCACAAACACACACGTTCACACTGATAAATGAATTTGTAGGCCTGGTTCACTCGCATGCTATTGTTTACATATATATACAAGGTATATGTATGTAAACAAGTCCCATTTATGTTTCTAGAAGTCAACCACTGTATGGTACTCCAAGAAGCATGGATTCATACAGAGTGCCACCCCACATTGCTGACACATGTATTGTGTGTCTTTTCGCACTCGGGGTCGCTGTTTAGTGTAAGCACACACAACGCACTTTTTTCTGAGAGTACTTCTTCTTTGGATAATGGTAATGGTACCAGGCAGTGACAGTTAGGGATTATTCTGTCGGGCACTGACCCCTCTTCTTGTGGAGTGACAGGTCGCTGTTGTGGGGTGACAGGTCGCTGTGGAGTGACAGGTATAGGTGTGGTATCGTACTTTTTCGCTATCTGCTTGATGATATTGAGGGTGAATTATGCATATCATTGTCGCTTTCAAGTCTTTATTTCATACATGTTGAAGGCATTGAGCATTGCTATGTCTACAAGGTGGAAAAAAACTTTTATATACCACTTGCAACTCCTACGCACATAGTCAACAAACACTATCATCATGTCACACTTGTGTGTGTTTTCTTCTTCTCATTGTTCCACATATATCAGTATTGTTCACACGTAGGAAATCTGCGAGCATAGGGCTTGTATACAAGTTGCCTGTGAACAGTGTATGACCTTTGCCAAGGTATGGCCCCATCTTGCAAACAACATCCCCAGAAATGCCCAACATGCACCTGGTATCGCCGAGTGTATTTTTTCCTGTGTAGATAATGACATCCAACACAAGACCAGTTTCACAGTCACACATAACAAAGAGTTTTATACCAAAGCAATTACGTTTGCTTGGTATATATTGTTTGAATGACAGTCGTCCCTTGAACCGAACTAAGGACTCATCGATAACAATGTTCTTGAATGGATAAAAGTAGGCACTGAATTTTTGCTTCAGATACATAAACAATTCTCGGATTTTGTATAAGAGGTCGTTTCTGTTTGGCATATTCCTGTCTGAGAAGTGCAACATTCGTAGCAACAGAGTGAATCTGTTGCAGGGAAGGAGGTCACTGAAGACTGGAGTACTGATGAAGTGGTCTGAGGACCAGTGGGGTGCTATATTGTTCTTATAGGTGTGTGGCATAAGCATGACAGTGCCAAGGAATAAATACATTTCAGCCACAGTTGTATCTTTCCACCTGCACAGTCGTGAAGACTCTGAAACATCCGTGTGGTCCATTGTATATTGGTAGTACATGTTGGTCTGGGTAACAATTAGGTTCATTATCGGCTCATCAGAGTAGAGATGAAAATAGTCTAACTCTGTAGACTCATTTGTGATGGGATAGTGTGGCATGATGCCACTTCCACTGACATCAAAATTGAAAGGATGTGGCACAAATAGTGTACTTTCTGTCCGGTTCCATTCACAGTCACATGGTGCAGGGTGGACCTGTGACATGGGGCATGGGGGAGCAGGAGGGGAGGACAGGAGTGGAGGTAACACATGGTTGAGAGGGGGCCAGACGGTCCTTTGTCTGCCCACTCACTGCGCCACGAGGTCCAGGCACCATGCCAACCTCCCCCCCTCCCTCCATCCCAGCATATTCACCTTCATTATCACTATCACTATCAGTGGCTGGGGTTTCGGATCGTGACCTGCCACGACCCTTGCCACCGACTACATGTGGCACACTGCCTACGTATTTATGCCTAAAATTTCAC